GTCACTAACTAACAGAAATTGTTTAAAACACAGAAAACCAGGTAGTACTGGACTGGTGTTTCGTCCTTAACGGAGACTCTTCACTAATACGTACAAAATAACTCCATCAGAAGTCGAACATACGATCCACAAGTCACTGGGCCTAAATGCAGTGGCCCATCACCTCTATCTCTTGTCAGCTGGATTGATGAGGAGCCATTTGCATCTAGTGCTGTCGGTGATTATCTGTTCCCTCAACCGAGTTGGTTAACCCCACTAATCATGACCGCTAATTCGAATCTCAAGAAGTCTATCCTGTTGTCAGTCAGTAAGTAATGAACAGAACGTTAATTTTAAAATGTTATCTCCTGAGGATTTGTATTGATTTCACTGAAGACTTCATCACCAACCGAGGGAAAGAAATGATTCTATCCGATTTCTCAAGAAACTCATACCTAAAGCGAAGCAGATATTCGCAAAGTGTAATTAGCAAACACTTTCTTCAAAAACTGGTCATTTCGTTGAGATTTCAAAATCCTTCAACACACTAAATATACAAACGACGGTGAATTTAATATGATTTGCGGAAGCAACTAAAATCAAACGTTTCAAACCAAACTTATGTATACAAAGACAGTGTGTAGTCAACTTCACACTCCCTTGGTAATTGCATTTTGATTACACTGTTAGTCATGCGATTTCAGTGCACTAGGCAAGTTTTCAATCTCATGAGCTGTAACCTTCTTGAGTTGCTTTGTGGCTGTGTAGCAGCTGATGAGAACCTATGAAATAGAAGGACATCATTTCACACTATAAAAATGGTCTTTATTCCTTCATCAAAATTCATCAAACGAACCAAATGTATGGAATTAGTATTTTTCTAGTTGGACACAGTATAGATGTGGTGAGAGCTGTCTGCAATGTTTACGTCCCGAATCAGGGTCATGAGGGAAAACAAGAACAAAGCCTACCCTTGAAGAACTCAACAACCAGTCACAGCAGACTTGGCGTGGGCGGGTACGATTCGCAGATATATGCCCTGACCTTCAAAAAAACGGCCACAAAGAGATGACAGAATAACCTTCAGCGAGAAAACAAATAATCAGAAGATGTTGCTTCTCTGCTAACAATAACGAATAATAATGTACATAAAAATCAATAAATATCTCTTGATTTTCTCAATAAATGATCTGTTGCCTGGCCCCTGTCTTCTGTCGTTACAGTAGTACTCGCTAAGCAAATCAAAGTAATCTAAAATTTGGACGGCTGTTTCGTTTATTTGGGGCTCAGATTATCAATACTGTACCTAGTTTGTCTCAGTTTAGAAAGCTGAACCCCTTCAAACCATCCGCGGATTAGTTTTCAGATTTCTTCATCATAATTCACGCTTTTTATAAATACCGAGTTCTGATTCCCCTTAAAGTTGAAGTTTAATGTCTCAAAGCCTCAAATTTCAATCCAAATTAAAGTGTTAACAAGATAAGCGTTTAACAACCAAATCTCATCTGAAATCAGTCACTTTCCCTACAACAAAAAACACTTGGAAAATGTCTGATTACAAGATGGGCATCCTAAAGTTCCTGGTGAGAAATTATGGTCCGCGGAGTCTGCCAAGATGTATATGAGGACAGATAGCCCCCATCTGTACTGGCTAGAGGTAGTGCTATATATCAGCAATTCGCACAAGTTCATATTCATGTGCTATTGCATCTCACCTTAGTGAATGAATGCTCAATGAGCTCTTCTTGTGACCATCAATTCACTAGATTCGACTTCTGATGGATTCGTGGATGACGAATACTCAAAACGCCTTAACTAGGATGAAACAGCAGTCTGGTTTCCTCTGGTTTTACAAACTTCATGGTGAAATACAGTTTTAAATCAATCCCCCCTCAACATTCCCAAGAAACCTGTACATATTATATACTCTAAGCTGTATGGTGTGGTACTGCAACACACCATGTGATGTGAATGTTATCAATAGCGTATTGTAAACGTTGAGATTTCTCAACAAGTAGAACAGATAACTCGGGTGTATCTGATTTTTTTCAGCAAAAGCTTTCAAACTGTGTTGTTGAGTACATAGGCCAGAGACTTTGCGATCTATTTTATAAGGCAAAACATAAGAAGTTATTATTCGGTTAAAGTGGATTTCTTCACTAACTAACAAAAATATTGAAACACAGAAAACCATATAGTGCTGGGGAGATGATCTCGTCCTTAACTGAGACTCTTCACTAATACGTACAAAATGACTCCATCAGAAGTCGAGCATACGATCCACAAGTCACTTGGTCGAAATGCAGTGGCCCATCACCTCTATCTCTTGTCAGTTGGATTGATGAGGAGCCATTTGCATCTAGTGCTGTCGGTGATTATCTGTTCCCTCAACCGAGTTGGTTAACCCCACTAATCATGACCGCTAATTCGAATCTCAAGAAGTCTATCCTGTTGTCAGTCAGTAAGTAATGAACAGAACGTTAATTTTAAAATGTTATCTCTTGAGGATTTGTATTGATTTCACTGAAGACTTCATCACCAACCGAGGGAAAGAAGTGATTCTATCCGATTTCCCAAGAAACTCATACCTAAAGCGAAGCAGATATTCGCAAAGTGTAATTAGCAAACACTTTCTTCAAAAACTGGTCATTTCGTTGAGATTTCCAAATCCTTCAACACACTAAATATACAAACGACGGTGAATTTAATATGATTTGCGGAAGCAACTACAATCAAACGTTTCAAACCAAACTTATGTATACAAAGACAGTGTGTAGTCAACTTCACACTCCCTTGGTAATTGCATTTTGATTACACTGTTAGTCATGCGATTTCAGTGCACTAGGCAAGTTTTCAATCTCATGAGCTGTAACCTTCTTGAGTTGCTTTGTGGCTGTGTAGCAGCTGATGAGAACCTATGAAATAGAAGGACATCATTTCACACTATAAAAATGGTCTTTATTCCTTCATCAAAATTCATCAAACGAACCAAATGTATGGAATTAGTATTTTTCTAGTTGGACACAGTATAGATGTGGTGAGAGCTGTCTGCAATGTTTACGTCCCGAATCAGGGTCATGAGGGAAAACAAGAACAAAGCCTACCCTTGAAGAACTCAACAACCAGTCACAGCAGACTTGGCGTGGGCGGGTACGATTCGCAGATATATAGATAACTCTGTAAGCAACGGTCGAAGGCAGTACAGAATAACCTTCAGCAAGAAAACGACCAATCAGAAGACGTTGCTTCTCTGCTAACAATAACGAATAATAATGTACATAAAAATCTAAAAACGTCTGTTGATTTTCTCAATAAATGATCTGTTGCCTGGTCCTTGTCTTCTGTTGTTACACAGTGATCTAAGATTAGCTAATCAGATATTGTCAAGAGATTGAAGATGAAAATTATAGACATTTTTGTTTCTATAGTTACTTTTCTTATTGCTTCAGCAGAACGTATGGATAGTGTAAATATTACTACTTAAGTTGCTATTCATCTATTTGTATTCCTATACGTTCCCAGTGGAACATAGAGCTCCACGCTAGATGTCTAAAGTTTCTGTAACAGTCTTGTTTATTTTTTTCATGGGATGGGATTGCTAACCTCATGCCCTACCTTCCCTCTTTGCCAGTCTTATTAGTGGCTTAGCGAGGTCTAGGAGTGCGTCAGCTGTGGATTGAACCCCGCATCACATATGACGTGGTCAGGGAGCATTCTACCGCTCTGTCACGGACGCCTGCTGTTCATCAATTTCATCTAAAAACCATACTTTCATTAATAACGAGTCTCAATCCAATGCTAAATACACCCTCAGTCTCTCGTGACTTCCATTCATTCCTCAAATGGTGCTGGAGACATTCGGCAGGAAACCACGGATCTGGGTTTCGTACTTATCAGCCCTCTTTACTGTGATGTATGTATTTGCAACGTCGAAGTTGGCGATGTTCCTTTAAAGGTTCTAATCCTTATCACCTAGCGCCACAAGCAGCGAAGTTATTAATGACCTGCTTGGCTTCTTCACTGACCTGTTGTATGAGTGTAGTAAAATAATTCTCTGGTAAACTGCCTGTTTCATCCATATTAGTTTGTTTATTAGATATATCACACAGTCAGTTAGACAGTATTACTAATCACTGGATGACACAGTTTCGAACACAATTTATTACTGTTCATAATCATACTAATCAATTATAATCACACGACTTCGAAAATTGAGTTTTATAATTTTCTTTGTTCTCTCCTATTTGTCGTCGTTGGGGTAGTAGAAGAAGGAACCTCGGAAACCTTACAGCGGAGAATTCTTAACAAGGCAGGAATAAAAGTGGCTGGTGTTCAGACACCCCACAAACTCAATTAGAAACAAGCTTTGTCTGTTGTAGGGTTCTCTGGAGCCTTTAAAACAAAACAATTTTGTTCATCTAATACCCTACCTGTGATGATTATCACGTCAAATACATAGGTCAATGTAGTAGAACAGGTGTAGTCAGTCAGACTAGTCAAGCATAAAATCCTAACAACAAAATCTAGATTAGTTGACTAGAATAAGATGAGAAATCTGGAGAATACCTCAGCTATAGCACTCACTACATGTAATTGCATACAACTATGCATACAATAGGATGGGGGATGAGATAACTGTTCTATCGAATCAAATGACGGGGAATACATGTAACAGGAATGATTCAACATCTGTCCACCCGAACATCTGGAAATTTTTACTACCCCTTCGACAACAAATAGGAGAGGACAAAGAACACTGTGAAACTCAAGTTTCGAAGTCGTGTGATTACAATTGATTGGTATGATTATGAACAGTAATAAATTGTGTTCGAAACTGTGTCATCCAGTGAATACTAATACTGTTTCACTGACTGGGTGATACATCTAATAAGCAAACTAATATGGAATTACTTACTACCACAGTGCCCAAGTTTTACACATATATATTAAATATGCCTGCTTCATCATTGAAGACCAGAAGAAAAAGGCCCAATTTGCATAAAAATCATTTAACTACTCACTGGTATAGTCACGACCATCATATCTATCTTCATATGACATCTTGACATCATTGAAATCTGAGGCATCTCTGAATCCACAACATTTCAACTGTGTAAATAGAAAATCAAAAAAAGGTTGGAATACACACGAAAGAGACGGAAAAAACTGTTGAAAATGTCAAACATGGAAATACTTATATTTGATTCGTATTGATTGATTATTTTTTAAAAACTGAAGTACTCGGTCTCTATTGACACATCGGTTCTTGGTAACGATGCTTCGATGATACCCAATAATAAATGCTTAGTTCCTTTTCTTAACGATGACTATCAGTGGAATCCAAGAAGGTCATTTCATCCCATGTGGTACTTCTCAGATGGATGTATCTGCCTTCACAATGACTGATGGAGTTCCCTTCCACTGAGACTCTAATACTTCAGCTCGTGTTTCATACCCCAAAGCCTTATCCATTAAAATCGACAAGATACACGACAGCTGCCTCTTGATTCTCAGTGTTCTCAGAAATGTTTTTAAACCAGCCTCTTTTATTACAGTCGACAGGCATTTAGTGTATTGAGAAATTCCTATTTGAAGCGCTCTAAACTGTTATAACTGAATTCATATAGAAATATCCACTGTCCTTCAAAAACGCTCTATAATAAGGAGTTCATTCGATGGTATTAAATTGTTGGAGGCAATCGGCCACAGGAAGCCTTGCCTGACCTAGGTTGTGTGCTAGTTGGCACTCGCTAGTCAGTCAGCAAGGCGTATCTGCAACCGCCTTGAAGGAACTCATGTCTCTTCTGAGATTCGAACTCGCGTCATTCAGTGCCGCCTGTAGTCAGAGACGTTACCACTGAGCTATTCGGGCTCGCGATTGACCTGCTGTAGGACTGTATTGGATACTTTGATTGGACACTAGTAACTGGTGTGATATGTCTAGTCCTTTCTTCGGTGCAGACTGAATTCTGTCAGTCAGGTTTGCAATGTGGACACCATTCTAGGTGGCTTTCCATCACGGTTCACTTTGATTTGATGGTATTAGATGGTTGGAAGCAATCGGCAGGAAGCCTTACCTGACCCAGGTTTCATGCCAGTGGGTAATCACTAGTCAGAAAAGCGTATCTGCCGGAGGTTAATCGCGAGGCCAAATAGCTCACTGGTAACGTCTCTGACTGCAGGCGGTACTGTATGATGCAATTTCGAATCTCAGAAGGGTCATGAGTTCCTTCAAGGCGGTTGCAGATTCGCCTTTCTGACTGACTGGTAAGTGCCAACTAGCACGAAATGTAGGTCAAGTAGGGCTTCCTGTGGCCGATTACCTCCAGCCATCTAATATCATGAAATCAATGTGCACCATGATGGCGAGCTATCTAGTGGCATGGTGGCCACATTGCAAACCTGACTGACAGAATTCACTCTACACCAAACAAACAAAGGACTAGACATATCACATTAGTTACTAGTATCTAATCAAAGAGTTCATTACTCTACCTAGCCGTCTAATTAACTCAGAACATCCACTGAGACGAATAGGAAAGTGCATTCATACAGAAGAGCCTGAAGTACATATTCAACATAACTAGGGATATATAAAATAATTCAAATTCTGGACCAAGATATCTGTCAAACTGACTCTTAAGCAACTCACTAAATGTTTAGCCCACCTATTAGAATTCCTTTGTGGTAAAAGCTTAATCGAAATTCATTAAATAAAAAAACGACCTACCACGGAATAATTTTATTTTGGTGAAGACACAAAGTGAAACAGTGCTATTTATCTTAGTGATGACTCTTTCCAAGCACTCACTATCAAAGGGCTCACATAACTTTCAGAGTTTGTTACTTTTATCCCATTAGGCTAAGACAGACAAGCTTTCCTTATTTGTCGTGAAGTCATGATTGATACATGCACTGAAATGATAACCTGATTGGATGGCTTTTTGATTCGTTTATTTTTAGCTTCAATTCCTGAGGTTTTGTAAGCTAATTGTACCATGTATTTTGAATAATTAAATGTTACCGTGGTCGAATCTGACTTTTCTTGTCTATCTCAGCGTGGGAGACATTTTCAAGTGATCAGTTTGTTATAGCGTCGCGTCTGGAGGCTCATTAAACTCAAATTAGATGACCACTACAAATCTGTAACTCCTAGGCATAACACATTATTTCCCATCCGTTGGTTCTATTGGTAATAATATTCTCCATGTCCCTGATATTGGTGTTTGATCTTTACCTACTGGACTGACCTTTATAATCGACCTTACAGTCACTGCAAGGTATTTTGTAATTTTTTTGGCTCTGAATACCTCTCTAGTCCTGGTTTGTTAGGAATCCTACTTATGATTTCCTTTCCTATTATATGTACATAATTTGCTCTGAACGCTTTGAGTTTGGCGCAGGTCCTAATGTCTCAGTTTTAGAGGTGTCAGCTACATTTGTCGTCACTGTCTAGGAAGAACAGCGAAAAAGCTAGTGAAACCCAAGATTGTCCACTCATTTATAGGGAAAGCCCACTACCGTTCAGCTAAAAATTTTAGGAACCAATAAGAACACAAAATCCATTATTATTTTGTCTTGGAATTGACCCCATCCGATGGTTTCCTCAGTTTGCAACCGATCCAACTCCATTTCCTTCTGCATATATGTTGAGCGATAGATTCTTGATTGGTCCGCCCCCAGTTCCTTGCTGCCAGTTCTTCCTACCCATCCGACTTTCAGTATGGAGTCAAGGCAGCTATTGATAGAAGTCTGCAGCTGGCTGCTAGAAATGCTACTCATGACGCGCTAAGTTCCTGAACCGTCATAAAGGAGGACTGACTTAACATTGGTGTTGAAAATCTAATTTTCGTTTTTTATGCTGTGGAGTGAAGAAGATTTCCAAATTTACTTACCTTTCCGATTCTGGTTTTAACATTTTCATCTGTTTCGACTGCCTGTAGTTGAAATGATGCTTCCAAGATACTTGAAGGAAGTGGTCTTTTTCAAATTTCTCCAGTCGATAGCTACTGAGTTCAAATGTTTCTAATCAAAAATAGCATTGGCTTCCTTTCAACCACCTTCAACTATTCAATATCAGTTTTTCGAAGTTCAGGACGAAGGTGAGTCATCTAGCCTGGCGACTATACTGAAAACTGACCTAACACAATTCAGTTATGAGGACGGAAGTAGTTCCTAGGTGTTTTTGCACATAGTACAGCAGCGTAGAAAATCGATAAATTACCTTTAAAACAGTCAGACGTAACATCTGCTGTAATCACAGCCTTCCTCTCAGCACATAATTCACAATCATATCAGACTTACTACCTGAGGAATTTCAAAACGCAATTAACTGGTCATTCATGTTGATTTTCCTGATTGCAGTAGACTGGATAATGCGACAGACAGTGGCGGGCAGTGAGGAAAAGGGCCTAAAATAGACCCACACAAAAATCCTGACGGATCTGGACTTCGCCGATGATATATTTCTGATTTCTCACAAAGTGAAAGATATGCAAGTGAAAAGCAACACGTTGGCAGAAGAAGCAACAAAGATAGGACTTCAGTTGAAAATAGTGAAAACAGAGGTGCTGATGAAGATTCCTGACCAACAGCAACAACAACAGACAACAATCAGCATAACTGGGAAAAATTTGAAAGAAGCAACCTCCTTTACCTGCCTACCTACCTACCTGTGAAGCATCATTTCAACTACAGGCGGAAAGAAGCGATGAGGATATCAAAGCTCGAGGATCGGGAAAGCAAGACAAGCTTTCATTTCTCTCAAGTCTGTGTGGAGATCAATGGTACTAATCAGCATGAAAAATTTGATCCGGATTTTCAACTCCAATGTGAAGTCAGTGTTACTTACTATACGGATCAGAGACTTGGCGCCGCGTCACGAAGGCCACATCGATCAACTTCGAACTACAGACCTCCATCAACAACTGCCTTCGCTCAATACTCAAGATCAGATGGGTGGCCAGTAAAGATCAGCAACAGGGATCTCTGGGAATGAATGAACCAAGCCAGCAGGAACCAACTGTGCAACAAATACACAAGAATAAATGAAGGTGGACTGACCATACTCTGAGAAAACAAACCATCAAGTGAGTGACATCACACGCCAGGCTTTCAAGTGGAACCCAAATTGGAAGCGGTGAGTTGGTCGTCAGTGCGAGGGTGACATTTAGGAGGTCATGTTAAGAGGAGGTGAAAGCACATGGGCAGATGTGGAGTCAGGTGAAAACGCTGGCAGAGAACCGAACGCAATAGAGACGTTTGGCTGAATCCCTATGTTCCTCTAGGAACTAAAGGAAACAATATTAATAAAAATGTTGACAGAAACGCAACGGAGGTGAAATCTGTTTTAGCGACAATTTATCCTTACTCTGTAGACATGATAGGCAGACAACGTCAACTCACCTGTATCATTACAACAGCTGCAAATAAACTCTGTCCATCAAGACTTTGCATCGACTCGTATCCATAGAATTGTTTCTCAAAAATATTCTCCATACCTCCACGTAACTGCATTTTCATTTGAAAAACACAAAAATAAAAAAGAACTTTAACACAAAATAACAAGGTGATAAACTCGTAAAATAGGATAATGCGATATCATTATTTCATTTCATCATCTAGAAGATTCACGTGCGATTTCCGGCTGAAGTACTCCTAGATCTCACCCAGACTGCCGAGCGGTAGTGAGCTCAACAAACAAGGAAGAAGTGTTCGGCATGAGGCTACTGTTATTTAGCCTTCAAAGTTTGAAGACCTTTACTCCTGTCGGAATGCCTAGAATGGATAATACTTCAGCGTTTCAAACTAGGCGGTGTTGAGTTCTTGTTACAGTGGGAAAATCAGTACTCACTGGGGAATGCAAACACATTCATTTAACGAGTCCTAGAGGGGACGAGATGCAGCTGTTAGATTCCACCGCTCACTATCAACAACTGAGTAATTCATGGATAATCCCCATCCAGGCATTAATGAAAACAAAACAAGTAGTTCAGCGAAGAGTCTGTTTTCGCTGGCGAATTCATTTTCTTAGCTGTACAATCGCAAATATATATGAATGTGTTATTTTGCATGTATGTGTACATTAAGTTTGTCAAACAAAAATATAATTGGTTATAGTTATTTTAACTAAACAGGTGAAGATTGGTAATTGGAGTTACGTAATATAAAATCAGTCAAGAAAAACAGGTGTTATTGAAATTAGGGTAGTGTAACAAAGGTGATGAGTTGTCACTAACAGTTGTTAAAAAACAAGTTATGTAATAATATGGATAGTTTGATGAGTGAGGTTTACTCAGGATGCACATAGGAACAAAGTAGATAATACGAAATTACGTAAGAGTTCTAAATGAATACAACACATATTCATTATTTGTGACAACAATGGCCTCGATCCACTGCTGAAGACATTTAGCTGTTGCCATCCAGTGATAAAATTCACTCTCGAAATGGAAAACGAATCAAAAATTCCGTTTCTTGATGTGAAACTAACAAGAAGAACTGGTGGGAGCCTAATAAGATCGATCCAAAGAAAAGCTACTTAGAATGGTCAACTAACCAGCTTCTATAGCTGGGTACCCATTCAACAAAAGCGGAATTTAATTAAATCACTTGCCACCGCATCCGACGCATCTGTAGTCCCGACGTTCTGGAAACATAATGAGATATTCTCAGAGAAACGTTTATCCAAAATGGATACCCAATAAGATTCATTAACAAAAACATTAAACCGAGAGTTCGAAGAAACGAAACTTCACTTTCTCCTAAAAAGAAACTCTACATGAACTTGGATTTCAAGGGAGATTCAACAAGCGATATTCTCAAGAGAAGGATCACATCATCTCTGAGAAGAACATTCTTTGCAGCAACACTAAGAATAGTGTTCTCCAGTCGCCCACTGATCTGCAGAAGCCTCAAGGACAAGATCCCGCATCTGACCACTTCTATGTGCATATATCAGTTCACCTGTTGCTGTGGAGCCAGGTACATCGGTCGTTCAACGTGCATCCTGTCCAAGAGGATTCAAGAACACTATACAGCATGGTTGTGAAAAGGCAATAGTGGTGCAATAAGGAGTGCGATAATTGAACACCTGGTTAACACTGATCATTCCATCTCAACAAACGCCTCCTGCTTCAAAGTAATCTACAGAGTCAAGAATAACCTACCAAAGGCAATACGGTTTCGTCTTCTTTGTATCACTGAAACTCTGGCCATTCACACAGAAAAACCGGAGCTGTGGATACAAAAGAGGATTACTCAACCACTTCTACTGTCATGGTAACAACTTTCTTGATTTTGATGACTTGATTTTGTTTGTTTGCCTGTTCTTTAATTGCTTATAATTCTTCTATTCATTTAGAACTCTTACGTAATTTCGTATTATCTACTTTGTTCCTATGTGCATCCTGAGTAAACCTCACTCATCAAACTATTCATATTATTACATAACTTCTTTTTTAGCAACTGTTAGTGACAACTCATCACCTTTGTTACACTACCCTAATTTCAATAACACCTAATTTTCTTGACTGATTTTATATTACGTAACTCCAATTACCAATCTTCACCTGTTTAGTTAAAATAACTATAACCAATTATATTTTTGTTTGACAAACTTAATGTACACATATATACAAAATAACCATGCATATATTTGCGATTGTACAGCTAAGAAAATGAATTCGCCGGCGAAAAGAGACTCTTCGCTGAACTGAGTAATTACCTGAAGCAATTTTAACACATCAGCGTACTGAAAATATTCACATGCTTCAGCTAATTGGCATGTAGATGAATGCCATTAGTATTACTTGTTTGAATTAAATCGTTCTACAAAGCAAAGTCACAAAACTGTTCTACAGACAGACTATTTTACATTTTTAGGTTATGAATTTTGTAGGGATTATCTACTAATTTCACTGAAGATTACATCATTTACACAACCACTGAAAACCAGGGAGGACTTGATGGTTTCTTCGTCATAGATTGAGACTCTTCAGTAGCAGACAACCAACTCCAGGATTCAAACCTAGAAACTTGTGGGTTACAAGGTGAGCACATTGACCAATAAGCCGCTGGGGCCCAAGCCAACGGCCCATGAATTCCCACTTCTGCCAAATCACGACATAGCGCGACCCCTAGCCAATGTCTTCGGCGAGTATTTGTCCTCACACTCAACCTGCTGCACCCTACTGGTCACGACTTCTCACTAGAACCCCAGGTAACTACCTACCTGAATAGGGCAAGTCGCTAATGAGCATCTCATTGATATTCAACTGTTGGTTTGTAGGGATTTGATTGGTTACAGGATTTTCATCATGAGCTGACATTAGTTAGAGAACTATTGAAAAACCTGGGAGTACTGGACAGCTGTTTCATCCTAGTCGGGGACTATTGATGAAAATCCTGTAACCAATCAAATCAATACAAACCAACAGTTGAATATCAATGAGATGCTCATTAGTGACTTGCCCTGTTCAGGTGGGTAGTTACCTGGGGTTCTAGTGAGAAGTCGTGACCAGTAGGGTGCAGCAGGTTGGGTGTGAGGACAAATACTCGCCGAAGACATTGGCTAGGGGTCGCGCTATGTCGTGATTTGGCAGAAGTGGGAATTCATGAGCCATTGGATCGGGTCCCAGTTGCTTAATGTTATACCAGCTCACCTTGAAACCAAAAGGTCCTGGGTTCGAGTCCCGGTGGGTGCGTACTGATGAAGAGTCCCAAACTAGGATGAAACAGCTGTCCAGTACTCCCAGGTTTTCAAGTGGTTCTCCAACCAATGTCAGCTCATGATGAAAATCCTGTAACTCCCTGGTATTTTTTCAATGGTTTCCTAGCCAATATCAGTTCACGGGGAAGTCCTATAAGCAATCAAATCCTTACAGACCAACATTTAAAAATCTATACCGTTACTTTAATTTGGGTAATTCAATGACAATTAGGCTTGGTAAAGTAATTTCACAGCCTTAATTTTGTCTTTATCAATACTCATGAATCGACCATTTTTGCTCACCTCTACTTAATGGAATTATTCAAAGCGTTTGTGTAGCATATATTGTCAACTTTTGCAAGTCTAATCAATTTCCTAATTCCATTCTTAACTCAAGAATATTCTTGTATTCGCCTTAAAGTGTAAATAGATAAGCATACTAAGGTGACGTCAAAGTATGCCTCCCCAAGAGAATGAGTGTACTAATATCTTTGCAGAGACAGAGATACTGCGAACAGTCAAGAAAGCGGAGACATAGTGTCAAGTATTTTGGTAACTGAATGCTGTCCGGGATTTATGAGAAACGATATTTTTTCCAGAAAAGGGCTTTAAGTAAACCCCTACCTTAAGCTGAACCCATCTTAATCCCAACTCTAATCAACCCTTATGTTGAAGAATAGTCATTTGAGTAAATATTGAAACTTCTAAGAGAGAAAAATTTGGAGTTATCCTTGCCATGTATATTTAAGGATATGTGATGCTTTTTTAGAAGTTGATTGGTGGATGGTGACTAGCAGTGGAATCCAGCCAGAATGCGCATTTCGTCCTATTTGGGACTCGTCCTCCAGCTGGATGTGCCTGCATTCCGCAGTGAGTGATAATGTTCCCACCGGGGCTCGAACGCCAGTCCAATCAGTTGTCTGGAAAATCTAAAATTGAATTGAATAATCAATAAGACTCGTTGCAGAAAAGGTGGCTGTCGTGGCCCAAGTGGTCTAGTGGATAACGCTTTGGCGTTTGAAACTATAGATACCTGGTTCGAGCCTCAGTGGGAACATCATCATTCACTGGGGAATGCAGGTACACCCAGCTGGCAGACGAGTCTCCAATAGGACGAAATGCGCATCCTGGATTCAACTGCTAGTCATCATCCACTAATTAAATGCTAATTAAACGCTCAGACATCGTCAGAGCATCTGCACAAGAAGCCGACATGTCAACCTGAAACCGAGCACTTCGGTTGAATCAGTCGACGGGAAAGCCAAAATTAAACTGAATAACAGTTTTAAACTGAACAGTGTTGACATAATGTAGAGAACTTTCAGCAGAAGTTATTGCATGATATTTCTTGCTAGCCAAGGATTTTCAAATAAAATAATAATTGACAGTAGATCGTGTGACACAGCGCTGTTTCAATTGAAGGACAGACCAATCCACTATGTTATCTCTTCTTTGTCTCTTTCGAGAATTGTGTGACATTTACTTGAATGCCGATTATAAAAACCATATAAGTACATTTTATGAACCAATGGTACAATCCAGGAACAGTTATTTCATGTACTGGGATAAGCTGCCATCCATCAAGCTAGATAATGCTTTTTATCATGTTTAATAGAAACTTGCTAGTCAGCAGGTTGTAAACTTTTTAAATACTCGCGAAACTAGAAAATGGGCTTTTGAAGGATGTTATTGATGCAACTTGAATTCTATTGTCAGTACATGGATGATACATTTTTGATTGTGAAAAATGAGAAGGAAGCAAAGAACATCCTGGATAAATTTAACGAGGTTCATTCTGCAATAAATTTCACCA